TTCAACTTGCATTCTAATTATGTACATCATGCAATCATAGTTTGGGTTTTATCCTCAGCCATGTGTGACTATAGTCACACATGGAATTCCTTGTGAAACTGCTAAGGAGCTGAAAGGGACATGCACACACACTCACAAATAAAATGGCACCATAAAAGTCATCTGGTTCTGTGTCCATGCTTTGAGCCAGGAGTTTACATTTCTAGACTTGTTATTTTATTTATATAGGCTCTCTAGGAGAATCAGAAGCAGCAATTCCATCCTACAGACCTTGCACTCATTACAACCACAATGGAGTACAGACAGCAGCTATTTAATGTCCCAAAGTCTTCCCTTCAATTGACATTGCCTCCCAAGCAACTATAGGTGACAAGATAATTTTAATAACTATGCTACTACTGCATGCCAAATGTTTCTAGTTACCCGATTCTACTTTGTAAAGAGGTTTCACGGTATTCAAGTCAAATAGGTGAGCAATCCTAGAATTTTATTGTAAGGGTCTATTTCTCAGGGCTTTTGGTAGTTTGCATAAATGGCCATTATTATCCCCTGTCTGTATCCATGGCCTTCTGCACTGTCCCCAGATGACAGTTCTCAACAGCCAGATATGTGAATATGAACCAGCAAGGCTCCAACCAACCTACCAAATGATTGCAGATACACGAGTGCTCCCTAGCTGAGATTAATTGAGCCTGGCCCAGATCAACAGAACCACACAAACGATCCATAGATTCATGAGAAATGCTAAAGCCTTGTGGCTTTAACCTATTAAGGTTTGGGGTGGTTTCTTAAACAGCAAAGGCTAACTGATACCAGAAAACTCCTAGTACTAGAAACTATATCAAATAAGGTCCAATCAGGAAAATACGGGATTTCAAATGAGAGATTCTCATGTGAAAATTGTTTACACAGATTACACAGATAATGGAATTGATAAGAAGCTAAGAGGGAGAGTGAAGAAACTGAGAAGCTGCAACCATCCCTAGGGCTAGAGGGTCAGAGGAAGGCCAACAGACATGAAGGATGCAGCTGTCTGAGGGAAGCTAGAACTGCAAAGGAAACTTTGACTTCAGATTTTTGCTTTTTATTTAAGCTCTGATACCATTAGATGCAGGCATTTAATCTGTCTGTTGGCTGTTGATTTATTTATGTCCTTTATTTCATTAAGTTAATATATACAAGTTCTTAGGATAGTGGCTGGCACCTAGTGAGAGTTATATGAATGGTAGCTGTCATTATCATTGTTGTCATTGTATATTTTTATAGCAAGAACCATACATAATTGCCTTAGTCCATTTTTTGTTGCTATAAGAGAATACCACAGACTGGGTAATTTGTAAAGAATGGAAGTTTATTTAACTCATGGTTCTGGAGGCTGGGAAGCCCAAGGTAGAGAGGCTGGCATCTGGTGAGGGCCTTCTTGCTCATCATAACATGGTGGAGGACATCACATGGCAACAGGGCAAGGGCTTGCCAGCTCAGACCTCTCTTTCTCTTTCTCTCTCGCTCTCTCTTTTTTTTTTTTTTTTTTTTTTTTAAGACAGAGTTTTGCTCTGTCGCCCAGGCTGGAATGCAATGGCATGGTCTTGGCTCACTGCAACCTCCCCCTCCTGGGTTCAAGCAATTCTCCTGCCTCAGCCTCCTGAGTAGTTGGGATTACACCACCATGCCCGGCTAATTTTTGTATTTTTAGTAGAGACGAGGGTTGACTATGTTGGTCACACTGGTCTGAAACTCCTGACCTCATGATCTAGCTGAGATTAATTGTAATCCCAAAGTGTTGGGATTACAGGTGTGAGCCACCATGTCTGGCCCTCTCTTTCTCTTCTGATAAAGCCATGAGTCTCATCAGGGGCCTCACCTGATGGCCTTATCTAATCCGAATTATTTCCCAAAGGCCCCACCTCCAAAGGCCATCAGCATATGAATTTTGGGGTTAAATTTCCAACACATGAAATTTGAGGGACACATTCAAACCACAGCAAGCCAAAAGTCTTTGGCTTCAATGATTACCTTATTCATGTGAGTCCAGGGATAATTTAGTTAGCTGTTTACTACTATATTCCTCAGGCTTCTAGATACTTATTTCTGAACACTAATAGGATTTTTAATTGATGCATAATAGTTGTACATATTCAGGAGGTACATGTAATATTTTGATAAATGCATACAATGTATAATGATCAAATCAGGGTAATTGGGATATCCATAATCTCAAGCATGTTTTCTTATGTTGCTAACATTCCAATTACTTTCTTCTAGCTATTTGGAACTATACAATATATTATTTTTGACTATAGTCACCCTACTGTACTTTCAAAGACTAGCTCTTATTACCTCTATTTAATTGTTCTTTTATACTCATTAATTCACCTTTCTTCATCTTCCCATACCCCTACCTTTCTCAGCCTTTAATAACCACCAATCAACTCTCTACCTCCATGAGATACCTTTTTTTTGGCACCTGCATATGATGAGTGAGCACACACAAAATCTGTCTTTCTGTGCCTGGCTTATTTCACTCAACATGACCTCCAGTTCCATCCATGTTGCTGCAAATGACAGGAGTTCATTCTTTTTTTGGCTGGGTAATATTCCATTGTGTATATGTACCACACGTTCTTTATCCATTCATCTGTTGTTGGACACAGATTGACTCAATATCTTGGCTTTTGTGAATAGTGCTGCAGAAAACATGGGAGTGCAGATATTACTGTGATTTTCTTTCTTTTGGATTCAAAAGATTTCCTTTCCTTTGGATTCCTTTCTTTTAGATTCAAAGAAGATATCCTTTCTTTTGGATGCAGCAGTGGGATTGTTGAATGATATAGTAGTTCTACTTTTAGTTTTTTGAGGGACTTCCACACTATTTTTCATAGTGGCTATACTAATTTACACTCCTCCTAACAGTATATGAGCATTCTCCTTTCTCTGTACCCTCATCAGCATCTAATATTTTTGGTCTTTTTGATAAGTCATTTTAACCGATGTGAGATATTTCACTGAGTTTTGATTTGCATTTCTCTAATAATTAGTGATACTGAGCATTTTAAAATATGCCAGTTGGCCATTTGTATGTCTTCTTTCAAGAAATGTCTGTTCAGATCTTTTGCTCATTTTTCTTGAGTTGAGCTTCTTACACATGTTGGTTATTAACCTCTTGTTAGATGGATAGTTTGCAATTATTGTCTCCCATTCTGTGAGTTGTTTATTCACTTTATTAATTGTTTCATTTGCTGTTCAGAGGTTTTTCAGCTTAATATGATCCCATTCATCTATTTTGGCTTTTTTTGCCTATACTTTTTAGATCTTACCCAAAAAGTCTTTGCACAGACCATTGTCTTCGAGTGTTTCCCTAACGTTTTCTTCTAGTAGTTTCAGAGTTTCAGGTCTTAGATTTAAGCCTTCAATTCATTTTGATTTGATTTTTTTTTTATTTGGTGAGAGTTAGGGGTCTAGCTTCATTCTTCTGTACATGGTTATCCAGTGTTTCCAGCACCACTTATTGAGGAAATGGTCCTTTTCCCCAATGTATGTTCTTGGTGTCTATCAAAATGAGTCAGCTATAAATGTGTAAATTTATTTCTGACTTTTCTATTCTGTTCCATTGGTCTAGGTTTCTGTTTTTATGCCAGTACCATGCTGTGTTGGTTACTATGGCTTTGTAGTATATGTTGAAGTCAGGTAGTGTGATGCTTCCAGCTTTCTTCTTTTTGCTCAGGATTGCTATGGCTATTTGGGGCCTCTTATGGTTCCATATAAATTTTAGTTTTTTTAAAAAAATATTTCTGTGAAGAATGACATTGGTATTTTGATAGGGATTGCATTGAATCCATAGATTGCTTTGGGTAGTATTAACATTTTTAACAATATTCTTCCAATTCATGAGCATGGGATATCTTTCCATTTTTTGGGTTCTCTTCAAATTCTTTCATCTGTGTTTTACAATATTCCTTGTAGAGATCTTCTACATCTTTGATTAAATTGATTGCTAGGCATTTTTTATTTTTCATAGCTATCGTAAATAAAACTGCTTTCTTGATTTTTTTTCCGTTTGTTCACTGTTGTCATATATGAATGCTACTGATTTTTGTATGTTGATTTTGTATCCTGCAAGATTACTGAATTCTTTTCTCAGTTCTTACAATGTTTTGGTAGAGTCTAGGTTTTTATAAATATGATATGTTGTCTGTGAACAAGGACATTTGATTTCTTATTTATTTATTTATTTATTATTTATTTTTTTTTTGAGACAGAGTTTTGCTCTTGTTGCCCAGGCTGTAGTGCAATGGAGCAACCTTCGCCTCCCATGTTCAAGCCATTCTCCTGCAGTCAGCCTCCCTAGTAGCTTGGATTACAGGCATGCACCACCATGCCCTGCTAATTTTGTATTTTTAGTAGAGACAGGGTTCTCCATGTTGGTCAGCCTGGTTTTGAACTCCTGACCTCAGGTAATCCACCCGCCTCAGCCTTATAAGCGTGACCCACCGCACCCGGCCACTTTGATTTCTTTTTTTCCAATTTGGATGCCTTTTATTTCTTTCTCTTGCCTATTTGCTCTTGTGGGGAGTTCCAGTACTATGTTGAATGGTGGTGGAAGTATGCCTCCATGCTATATCCAAACCATAGCAAGTGCTTTGAATGTTTGTGAGAGCTTAGACAAACCTGGGCTGAAGGCATCATTTACTCCTGAAAAGGAGACAGTGTTCTTAGAGGAAAGACTTTTAATTTTCCCCCATTAAATATGATGTTAACTGTGTGTCTGTTATACATGGTCTTTATCATTTTGAGGTATGTTGAGAATTATCATAAAGAGATGTTAGTTTGTTGAATGCTTTTCAGCATTTACTGAAATGATCATCTGTCTTTTGTTCTTGATTCTGTTAATTTTATGTATCATATTTATTGATTTGCATATGTTGAATTATCCTTTTATCCCTGAGATGAATCCCACTTGATCATGGTGAATGATATTTTTATTTTTTATTTTATTTTATTTATTTTTCTTCAGCATTGTGTTTTACTTTTGCGGGGAGAGGCTAAGAGGAGGAAGGGGAGAAATCAGGGTCTCATGGGAGTCTCCAAAGTGTATGAAACCTCTGGTAGTACAAGGATGGGATAAGATGGCCAGGCAAGTCAGATGGGAAATCCCCAAGATTCTTTTTGCTACTGATTTCTAGAATTAAAATATGACATGTGTAAGGGACTAGAACATGGTCTTCAATAAATGTCAGTGGTCTTTCCTAACTACATTCCTCACAGGCTAGGTTATGCCTAGATATCATCATCCTTCTCCTTTTCAGGGAATGAAGCTCACCTAGAAAACTAGGGAACTAAAAGTGCAATACAGTTTGGGTAATTCAGTTGGTTAGCTGTCTCCCCATCCTATCAACTCCACTATGACAGGGAAGGGCTGAATGTAGAAGTAGCTCCCCTGAAGTCTAGTTAGCATGTTGTGGCAGAGTCCACATGAAGGGCTGTGGGCTGCAACTCTCTAGTGCACAGTCTGCTCCTTTTGGAGATGATAATTGTAGGTAAAGAAGCGGACACGCATGCTGATTTCACAAGCTGTCTTCAGGATCTCAACAGCCTTGCTGTGCTCAGTATCTTGGAAATCCACATCATTCACAGCTAGAACTTGGTCCCCTTCCTGAGGTCCTGCTCTATGTGCATCAGAGTCAGGAATTACCTTGGAGATGAAGATGCCTAGCTGGGAGGCCTTTCCTCCTCGGATGTTAAATCCCATCTGAGCTCCAGGAGGCTTCTTCCGTGTGATGGTTTGGGGAAGAAACTGGGTCAACTCATTGTTGTAGTCTGCGTGGTATAACCTCTTATAAGGAGGAATCCATGCTAACAGATTCTCATAGGCAGGCAAGAAAACCACCCGGTAGTCATCATAAGGAATCCGGCTGTCCATCTCGGGCAAGACCCAGTGGGCAGCCCCCAGCAACCTCAGGTTCAGCTCACCGCCAAGTCAGACTGGTGAATGATATTTTTAAAATGTTATTGTATTTGGTTTGCTAGCATTTTGTTGAGAATTTCTGCATATGTATTTATCAAAGATACTGACCTGTAGTTTGCCTTTTTAAATTATGTTTTTGTCTGGTTTTGGCATCAGGGTAATCCTGGTCTTGTAGAATGAGTTTGGGAGTATTCCTTTCTCTTCAGTTCTTTGGAATTGCTTGAGTAGAATTAATAGTAAAGCTCACACATCAAATTCTTATAAGGGTTGGTCACTGGCTCCTTGTTTTTTTCATTTGGGGAGGTCATGGTTTCATTTGTTGTTGTTCTTATAAATGTATGTTTATGGCTTTATATTGAGGAATTAGTTATTTATTCCCATATTTGTGTTTGGTTTGTTTTGATCTCTCTGTGGCATGTTTCCTTAGAGGTTCTTTGCAACTGTCTGTGAGTTCCCTAATCCCAGATCATTGCCTCCTTTTTAGGACTAGTTGGTGCCTTAAATCCAGGTTTGCCTCAGCTTTTACAAACATCCAAAGCACTTGCTATGGTTTGAATATTTGGCCCCTCCAAATCTCATGTTGAAATTTGATCCTCAATATTGGGGATGGGGCCTAATGGGAGGTGTTTGGGTCATGCGGGCAAAACCCCTATGAATGTCTTGGTGTGGTCCTCATAGTAATGAGTGAGTTCTTGCTCTGTTAATTCTTTTGAAGGCTATAGAGCCAGTCGTTTAAAAAAAATCGGCACCTCTCTACCTCTCTCTCTCTTGCCTCCTCTCTTGCCATGTGATTTCTGCACACACCAGTTCCCCTCTTCTTCTGCCATGAGTGGTAGCTGAGGCCCTCACCAGAGGCAGATGCCAGTGCCATACAGCCTGTAGAACCATGAGCCAAATAAATCTCTTTTCTTTATAAGTTACTCAGCCTTGGGTATTTGTATTCCTTTATAGCAATATAAACAGACTAAGACAGTACTGCTGGTCCTAGATTGAGGGAAGGGTTCTACAAGGAATATCTCAGATGTGTGGGAAGGCTGGCTAGGGGTTCATGTCCCAGAAGACCTGTGGAGCATGCGTCTCCCACGGCATGGTGCTGCTGAACAGCAACTCTGATTTGGCATCTCCTTTGGCTAAGAAAAAGAGCAAAATTTTGAGGGCTGGGGTTTGTGCTCCTATCTCCTCTGTCTCTAGCTGCCCTCAGTTTTTCTCCCTACAGGCACTCTCAATGCTTCCTGTGAGATGAGCCAGGAATGATTTTCCTGCAAGGGAACCCAATATGATGGTGAAGATGGATGCCAGCTTCAATCTCACTTTTTCCAGTGCAGAAACTATTTGTGTGGGAGGAACTTTCCATACATGGTACATGGTAGACTGTGGGAGGGGTCTCACAGATGGAGAAGCCTATTTCTCTTACTGTATGCTCAAAGTTTCTCACTTCCCTGTGATCCTAGGGATTGTCTAAGCCTCAACTTTGAGTTTTGAGATATTGCTAGTGATAATCTTGGCAGTGGATACTGTTTTTGGCTTTCTGTGGGGGAGAGTAAAGCCAGATTGTTTCTTCTTTGCCATTTTGGTGACTTTGCTCCTAATATGATTTTTAAATTGCCTTTATCTCCAAACAAGGCCTGATAACCAATTCTAGATTCCTCCTATCTCTATGTTGCCTACAACTCTCACTCTAGTACCAACACCTGAATTTGTCAGGGCACAGAAACAAATCCTGATTCATCTAAACAGAAAGAATTTATGGAATGGATAAATTCTTGGATATTGGAACAGAATATTAAACTTTCAAATGTTAGTGGCCTAACACACATAAGAAAAGTTTCTTACTCATCCTACAGAGCCAGCGAAGGTTGAAGGCAGGAAATCCATTCCATATTCTCACTTGGGGACCCAGAATGATGGAGGGTTCATTATCTGGAATGCTGCTGGTCACCAAGTCAGGAGGAAAGACACTAGAGGATCATGTAAGGCCTCTTGAGTGCCTCAACTGGACTTAATCACATGCCCCTCCCTAAGTCCAAGAGGACTAGTAAGTGGAGTCTACCAACTGCTAGGAAGGAAGAGAGAACTGGATAGTGGTGAGTAATAGTAATGTCTACTACAGAACAGTAGGAAGTGGCTCATGGTATTTACAAATAGTTGCAGAGAGCAAAATGGGAGCTGAAGGAGGAAATGCACAGACAAGATCCTGCCACAGGAGTAATCTGTTTGGACACCAACTCTGACCCCATCACCCTGACACTCAATATCTCACTACTGACCTCCATACTCTTGGAAACATCTGCTGTAATGTTAATCCTTGACTCCACTACAAATAACCTCAATCTGAACCCCTTAAAGGTCAAAGTCTCAGATAGTTCACGTAGTACAATCTTATTAGCATAACATTAACATGCCAGGTAATCTGGGTCATGTACCCATATTTTAGCTGCAAGGAGTGGGAAGAGAAATTTTATGTCTATTTCAACTTCCATTCTGGACAGAAGGATACTGCTACTTCTCAAATTTAGGATTCCTCCTTTAAAAGGGTGTTCAGATTCTGGGCAGCCAAAATATAAAAATGTGCCCTATGTAGTTTAAATGTTTTACATTTTAAGAAGTGTATTTTATTTTTTGACTTCCTTATGTGGCTATTTTGAGAATTTTACATAAAAAGAATCATACCATATGTGCTCTTTTTGCCTGGCTTCTTTCAAAGAATAATTATTTTGGGGTTTATGTTGTAGCATATATCAGTACTTCATTCTTTTTTAATTACTCAGTATTATTCCACTGTATGGTTATACCATAATTTGTTTAATCATTCATCTGAACATGTGGGCTGTTACCACTTTTTGGCTATTACTGATAAAGGTAGTATGAATAATCATGCATGGGTCTTTTTAGGGACATAAGCTTCCTTTTCCCTCAGATAAATACCTGGGAGTGAACTGCCAGATCATGTGGTACTCGTATGCTTAACTTGCTAAGAGACTGCCCATCTTTTTTCCAAAATAGTGGTGTCATTTTACATTCCCACCAACAGCTTATGAGAGGTCTAATTTTCTGCTTCCTCACCAACAGTTAGTTTGGTTAGTGTTCTTAATTTTAGCCATTCTACTAGGTGTGTAGTGGTATGTTATAGTGGTTTGATTTGCATTTGCCTTAGTTTTCAGAGTTTTTGGTTTCTGAATAAATATCAGCTGTAGCCAGGCAGTGCTTACCATGTAGGCCTTGAGTGAACATCAGCAGTGACCAGGAAGTACTTGCCATGGGCCTGAGGTGGTGGTGACCATAGGGAGAGACTCCTACTTGAGGAAAAAAGAGGGAAGAGTGGGAAGGACTTTGTCTTATGGCTTGGGTGCCAGCTCAGCCACAGTAGAATAGAGTATCAAGCAGATTCCTAAGGTTCCCAACTCCAGGCCCTGGCTTCCAGATGGTGTTTGTGGGCCCTCCCTGTGCTAGGGTAGGGAGCTTGCTGCCATGAAGAGGGAAACACAAGCCTGGCTGGATTTGCCACCTGCTGACTGAATAGCTGTCAGGCCTTGAGTGAACACTGGCAAGTAGCCAGGCAGTGGTTGCTGCTGGCCTTGGGTGAGACCCAGTGTTGTGCTAGCTTCAGTTCTGACCCAGGGCAGTCTCAGTGGTGGTGGACACTCCTTCCCCAGCTCTAGGCAGCTCAGCATGGAAAGAGAGACTGCATTTGTTTAGTGGAAAGTAAGGGAAGAGAACAAGGGTCCCTGCCAGGTAGTCCAGGAAATTATCTCAGATCTTATGCAATACCACCAAGGTGGTATATCTATGTGTCTGCAAGCATCACAGTGTTACTTTACTAGGTTTCCAATGACCCCTAATGTAGATACAGATGCAGTAACCAAAGACTGAAATAACAATACCCAATTCCCTTTGAATACTTGGAAAGCCCTCCCAAGAAGGAAGGGTACAAACAAGCCTAGACTGCAAAGACTACATAAGCACTTAACTCTTCAATGCCCAGATGTTGACCTTTGACAAAGATCCACAAGCATCTAGGAAAACACGACCTCCCAAATGAATTAAATAAGGCACTAGTGACCAATCTCAGAGTAATAGAGATATGTGACCCTTCAGAGAATTCAAAATAGCTGCTTTGAGGAAGCTCAATGAAATTCAAAATATCACAGAGGAGGAATTCATAATCCTATCAGATGAATTTAACAAAAATATTAAAATAATTTTGAAATATCAAGCAGAAATTCTGGAGCTGAAAATTTTAATTGACCTACTGAAGAATGCATCAGAGTTCCACAACAGCAGAATTGATTAGGCAGAAGAATAATGAATGAGCTTGAAGACAGGCTATTTGAAAATACACAGAATAGAAAAGAATAAAGCATGCCTACAAGATCTAGAAAATAGCTTTAAAAGGGCAAATCTGAGTTACTGGCCTTAAAGAGAAGGTACAGAGAGATCAGGGTCGAAAGTTTATTCAAAGGGATAATAACAGAAAACTTTCCAAACCTGGTGACAGATATCAACTTTCATGTACAGGAAGGTTATAGAACACCAAGCAGATTCCACCCAAATAAGACTACCTCAAGACAATTTAATGATCAAACTCCCAAAGGTCAAGGATAAGGAGGAAAGGATCAAGCAAGCTGCAAGAGAAAAGAAATAACATACAAAGGAGTTCCAATATATCTGGCAGCAGCCTTTTCAGTGGAAACCTTATAGGCAAGGAGAGAGTGGCATGATATAGTTAAAGTGCCAAAGGAAAAAAAACTTTTATATTAGAATATATATCAAAGCCAGGCGTGGTGGCTCACCCCTGTAATTGCAGCACTTTGGGAGGCCAAGAAGGGTGGATCACTTGCAGTCAGGAGTCAGAAACCAGCCTGGCCAACATGGTGAAACCCCCATCTCTACTAAAAATACAAAAATTAGACAGGCATGGTGGTGCATGCCTGTAATCCCAGCTACTCCAGAGACTGAGGCAGGAGAATCTCTTGAACCTGGGAGGTGGAGTTGCAGAAAGCCAAGGTCATGCCACTGCATTCCAGCCTGGGTGACAGAGTGAGGCTATGCATCAAAAAAAAAAAAAAAAAAAAAGAACAGTATATCCAGCAAAAATACCCTTCAAACATGGAGATTAAATAAAGACTTTTTCCAGACAAACCCAAGCTGAAGGATTTCATCAACACCAGACCTGTCCTACAAGAAATGCTAAAGGGAGTTCTTCAATCTGAAAGAAAAGGATGTTAACAAGCAATAAGAAATCATGTGAAGATGCAAAACTCATTGATAATAGTAGGTATGCTGAAAAACAAATAATAGCATAACACTGTAACTGTGGTGTATAAACTATTCGCATCTGGCATGGAAAGACAAAAAGATGAACCCATCAAAAATAATAATTACAACAACTTTTCAAGACATAAATAAAAACAACGAAGTGTTACAAAGCAAGGGAATGAAGTTAAAGTCTAAAGTTTTTATTAGTTTTCTCATTGCTCATTTGTCAGTGTGTTTGTTTTTGCATTTAGTGTTGTCATCAGTTTAAAATAATGAGTTACAAGATGTTATCTGCAAGCCTTATGGTAACCTCAAATTAAAAACCTACAACTTTGGGAGGCCAAGTTGGGCAGATTACTTGAGGTCAGGAGTTTGAGACCAGCCTGGTCAACATGGTGAAATCCCATCTCTACTAGAAATACAAAAATTTGCCAGGCATGGTGGCACATGCCTGTAGTCTCAGCTACTCAGGAGGCTGAGGCAAGAGAATTGCTTGAGCCCAGGAGGTGGAGGTTGCAGTGAGCTGAGATTGTACCACTGCACTCCAGCCTGGGCAATACAACACAAATAAACAAATAAACCACAACCCCTACAACAGATACACAAAAAATAAAAAGCCAGAAATTAAAACATACAATCAGAGAAAAAAGGAATACCGGAAGGAAGGAAGAGAAGACCACAAAATAGTTAGAAGACAAATAACAAAATGAGAGTAGTAAGTCCTTGTTGAAGATAGAAAATCAACATACAAAAATCAGTAGCAGTGTAGCAACCAAGATGGCCAACTAGACAAAGCCAGGAGTAACATCTGCCACCGAGAGATCAGGACATTGGGAAGACTTCGTCTAAATGAATAAATAAATAAATAAATAAAATACAAAAATTAGCTGGGTATGGTGGCTCACAGGAGCAATCCCAGCTACTTGGGAGGCTAAGATAGGAGAATTGCTTAAATTCAGGAGGAAGAGTTTGTAGTGAGCCAAGATATCACCCTGGCACTCAAGCCTGAGGACAAAGCAAGACTCTGTTTCAAACAAACAAAAAGTAGGCATAGGATCTGAATAAATATTTCTCAAAAGATGACACATAAATGGCTAACAGCGATATTTTAAAATGCCCCAAATCACTAATTATCAAGGACATGCAAATCAAAACCACAATGACATACCACTTTTCTTCCATTAGGACGGCTATCATCATCGACAAAAAAATAACAGATGCTGGTAATGATGTGGAGAAAAGATAATGCTTATACTCTGTTGGTAGGAATATAAATTAGTACAGCCATTATGGAAAATGGTATGCAGATTTCTCAAAAAGTAAAAAGTAGAATTACCATATGATCCAGCAATCTCACTACTGGGTATTTATCCAAAAGAAAGGAAATCAGTATAACAAAGGGATACATTTATTGCAGCACTATTCACAACAGCCAAAATTTCATATTAGTCTAAGTGCCCATCAGTGGAGGAACAGATGAAGAGAATGTGCTATATATGCATGATAGAATATAGAATATTATTTAGCCATAAAAAATGAAATCCTATTATTTGCAGCAACATGTATGAAACTGGAAGTCATGTTAAATGACATAAGACAACCACAGAAAGACAATTATGGCATATTCTAACTCATATGTGGGAGTTTAAAAAGTTGATCTCATAGAGGTAGAGAACAGAATGATAGTTACCTGAGGCTGGAAAAGGTGTGTAGCGGTGGGATGAAGACACATTGACTAATGGGTATAAACATAGTTAAATAGAAGGAACAAGTTCTAGTGTTTGATAGCCAAATAGGGTGACAATAGTCAACCATGTATATTTCAAAATAGCTAGAAGAGAGGACCTGAAATGTTCCCAACACACAGAAATGATAAATGCTGGAGGTGATGGACATACCAAATAACCTGACTGGATCATTATACATTCTCTGCATATAACAAAATATCACATATATTCCATAGATATGTACAAAAATATGTATTAGTAAAAAATGAAAAAGCGTGATTACGTGAGCCTGTCAGGGGGCAGGGGGAGTGGGGAGGGAGAGCATTGTGAAAAACAGCTAATGCATGCTGGGCTTAATACCTAGGTGATGGGTGACAGGTGCAGTGAACCACTATGGCACACATTTACGTATGTAACAAACCTGCATGTCCTGCACATGTATCCCAGAACTTAAAATGAAATACAATTAAAACACACGATTTAATTTTTACAAAATAAAAAATAAAAGCAAATATTTATTCAACACCCAAAGAGCAATTATCTCAGGATAGTTGCTCAGGATAGTGATACATTTATCAGTTTCTTCTTATCAAGATAGATATCTCAGGATAGTGATGCATTTCTCATTTTCTTCTTTGTGCTTTTATGTAGTTGACACATTTTATAACATAAAAAAGTTTCATTTCTATAATTACAAAAATAAGTACTTTACATTGTAAGAAAGAATAAGAAGGGATTAGCTGTGCCTCGAATCCTTGGATCATGCCTAAAATAGGATGAAAAAGAAAGAACGTTGCACTTTTTTTCTGTCATACATACATAACATACACACAGACATACACAAACACACATACAACACGCCATTTGAAATATATTTCTGTAAGTAAAGATCAAGAAAGTTAAGGAAGTGTAACAAAGAAGACTAAAAGCAGAACATTTTAAAAATGCTTTAATTTTTCAAATGGGACAAAGTTCCATTGTTCAGTAGCAATGAGAACTTGCTACCAAATCATTATGACACTGACTTTAGAGTCTGGTGACATCACCATTAATAGAAGACTCAAACAGCAGGAGAATAGTATGCAATATATGATTTTTGCAAAGATCCAAAAAATGTAATGCTTGAGAAATGCCTGTCCTAGCACTTCTCTTTACATCACCAAACTAAAGGTAAAGTGACTCTCAAGACTTGCACTATATAAATGTTTAGATAATTATGGCAAAATTATAGGTAGGGACTATCCCCAAACTTTGGCCTTAAATGTATGTTGTACAGAATAATAGGTGGCACACCAACATTATTAGTGGCTTTTAAGAATAATGTCATTTAGGGCATTTTGTCAGAAAATAATCTGGCAAGATGAACCACACTCTTACATCATTCATGTGGTATTTCAAATGCAGGTGATCATTTCTCATTGCTGGGACACTAAAATTTGGTTCAATTGAAGCCTGCCCAGTATGGTATTATTATTATTATTATTATTATTATTATTATATATATTTTGAGACAGTGTCTCACTCTATCACCGGGCTGGAGTGCAGTGGTGCGATCCTGGCTCATTGCAACTTCCGTTTTCTGGTTTCAAGCAATTCTTCTGCCTCAGCCTCCTGAGTAGCTGGGACTACAGGCACGCACCACCACTCCTGGCTAATTTTTTGTACTTTTTAGTAGAGACGGGGTTTCACCATGTTGGCCAGGTTGGTCTCGGTCTCTTGACCTTGTGATCCTCCTGCCTCGGCCTCCCAAAGTGCTGGGATTACAGGCCTGAGCCACCACGCCTAGCCTTCAGTATGGTATTATTTATGCAAAAACTTTCCAATAAAAATATAATTCAAGTCATATTTGTCACCTTAAATATTTTATGCCATTTGAAAATATTTTAGGAGCCACACCGTAAAAGGCAAAAAGTAACAGATGAAATATATTTTAATAATACATTTTATATAACTCACTATAACCAAAATTTCATTTCATTTCTTTTTTTTTTTTTTTTTTTTGAGATGGAGTTTTGCTGTTGTTACCCAGACTGGAGTTCAATGGCACTATCTCAGCTCACCGCAACCTCCACCTCCCGGGTTCAAGCAATTCTCCTGCCTCAGCCTCCCGAGTAGATGGGACTACAGGCGCACACCACCATGCCCAGCTAATTTTTGTATTTTCAGTAGAGACAGGGTTTCACCTTGTTGACCAGGATGGTCTCGATCTCTTGACCTCGTGATCCACCTGCCTTGGCCTCCCAAAGTCCTGGGATTATAGGTGTGAGCCACCGCGCCCGGCCTCCAAAATTTCATTTCAACAGGTTAGTCAACATAAAAAATTATTGAGATATCTTAAAATCTTTTCTTCAGTTTCTCCCGAACACTGAACACAAGAGTAAAGAGTTTATTATCACAGCCAGGAGCTGAGGAAATTATCTGTCCAAATTCAGCTCATCTAACAAAGGAAGGTTCTGCCTTTATATAGGCTTATACTTTACATATTACACGTGGAAGAATCTTAGGTTTATAGCTTTAGAAATAATATATGAAAAGGGTCTCAGTTTACAGCTTCAGGAATCACATATGAAAGGGTTCTGGTTTACAGTTTTAGGACTCACATGTGAAAAGGTTACAGTTTCAGGAATCACATATGAAAGGGTTCCGGTTTACAGTTTTAGGACTCACACGTGAAAAGGTTTCTGGTTTGATCTTGTTTTAAGTAAAATTAGTGCTTTCTGGAGTTTCCCCAAGACCAAGCCTGCCACCTGCAGGAAGGTGAAACAGGAGTCGCCAGTCCGTCAGCCTTTTCTTCTATTGAAATGCAGTGTGATAGTCAAAGGAGAAGCTGATCTGAGATCCCTGGGTCTCCTTCCTCAATACTAAGTCTTTAAACTCCACTATTAGGACTAGCCATGTTTTTGTGCTCACTAGCCACATGTGACTAATGGCTACTGTATTAGAAGTAACAGGTCTAAAACATTTCACTCACAAATTAAGGGTTGAAAAATTAAGTATTAGAGAGCTGTATTTTACTCTAATACATAACCCAAAAGCAAGACCTGCTCTTGGATAATGCCCACCAAAAAACAATCTGTGCTTGTAAACAGATATCATACCTGCAATGTGAGCTCGATGCATTGGCTGGAGCCAAAGATTCCATTTCAGAGCTTAATGCCTTTAATTTGTAATTTTTATCACTATTTACAAAGATACACCTTTGAAAGAACTCATATATTTTTAGATTCCTAGTCTTACAGTCTTTGAGTAATGCATCAGTCTGACTGTTTTGTGAAGAAAAAAATACATAAAAATCCAGATTGGGGCAGACTATATCCGAGTAGACAAAGACATCTTCATAATTACCTGATTCTATGTACACAGAAGCACCAGTGAAATAGGAAGAGAGTTTTACTGAATTTATTTTATGCAAGCAGGGTGGACTTTGATGAAGAAATGCAAGAGGAATGTCACGGACAGTTGGCATCTAGTCTAAAAAGGATTAGTAAACCTCCTGAGGGCAATTTCCAGGCTCTCCAAACAATATGTGGTTTCCCTGGCCCAAGTATGCCTTCTTCCTTAAGGCTGAGCATTCAAGAATCAGACACTTAAAGTGGTGGTAAAATTTCCACAAATTTGTTGTTAGACTATGATAACAGTAGTTTTTTACTTTCAAAAAAATGCTTTTTCTTCCTTTTTTAGGAGAGAATGCTGTCTAAAAGAAAAGTATTGCTAATGATTTTGTTTGCTTTATCACTGACATTGATTGAGCATCATTTCAGGTAAATAGAAAATATTCATGAACCATCATTTTTAGTGATTTGAAAGTTGATCTAAAGTGCTGAGCTATATTCAAAAGATAATAGTACTCCCTAAATTAATCAGTAATTACCTTCTTGGGGGAAAATATACATTAATTCTTTCACTTTTCAACATTCAATAAATAATTATTTGCTACTTTCTCGATGCGAGGCCTTGTTCTAAGTGCTGGAAAAATAGCAATAACCCAAAGTTACTGCTCTTAAAATGCTTTACATTCTAGGTGGGGAAGATGGACAATAAACAAGAAGTATATAATTTCAGGGATGATATATTTTATATAACAATGCTATGAAGAAAGGAATAAGGCAAGATAAGAGGATAGTTTGGGGCTTCTGTTTTAGATAAATCTTAAACTACATTAAAGTTCTATCTAATATGAGCAAGACAAAGTAACCTATTATAGAAATGTGGCTGCATTGGAGAACAAATTTGTTAACCTGTTAAAAATGCTCTCATATAGAAAAATTCAAATTCTTACTTCCCCAGTGCCCTCTTCTATGGTCTTCTTTATAAGCAATGCAATGTTACTGAATGCTATTTGAAAAGCAGCTATATTGTCAGAGCTAAATGTCTTTTAAAATCTATCCTATTGGTTTAGTATCATGCTCTACACATTATTTGCCCTCCAAGGGTATTGTACCTTAACAGAAAGGATCCATGGCCAGTTGTAATAGCATTAATACCATCTTTTTGAAGGTAATAAAGGGTTATCTTAGTCAAAAAAAAATAAACAGACCATAAGCTAATGGCAGGCCTGGATTTTGTCAAATATTCCAGAACTATAGCATTATGCCTAGTATAATTAGTAAACATTTAGTAATTATATGGCTAACAAATGAGTGAATGAATAAACTTAAATTCCAGATATTTTTTGTTTTTGTAAGTACAATAAGCATTTGTTCTAATTTAAAACTAAAACAATTTTTTTCATTTATCTAAAGAATAAAGAATCGCTTGCAGAAGATATATGTCTGCTGGTAAGAATCTGTCCTATAAATATTTTACAAACCATTGGGGGCAAACTAGCTGAAGTCAAATGCATTCTAATAGTGATGGTAGGCAGAAAGAACTGAAAATTATACTGAATTCCCTAGAGGTAATCATGTGGTAAATTTCTTAAGTTGAGAAATATTCTATGCACATGCATATATACATATATATGAGTTTATATGAACATGTGTAAACACACATTTCCAAATTTTGCTCTCACACTCACCTGCCTACAGGGAACAAATTTTTTATCCTTGCTATTATTTAACTATCTCTGTCCAGAATAATGATTTTCTTTAGATTATAATAAGTCCTTTTAGTCAAGCATGTTATCTACCATTGATTATTGTGTAGGGCCCCAAAATTAGTGAAACCAATCAACTGTCAGAATTATAAACTTTTTAAAAGTTCTCCATTTGTCACTATATATATATATATATGTATTTTTTTTTGAGATGGAGTTTCGCTCTTGTGACCCAGTCTGGAGTGCAATGGCGCAATCTCGGCTCACCGCAACTTCCGCCTCCTGCGTTCAGGCAGTTCTCCTGCCTCAGCCTCCCGAGTAGCTGGGATTACAGGCACGCACCACCATGCCCAGCTAATTTTTTTGCATTTTTAGTAGAGACGGGGTCTCACCACGTTTACCAAGATGGTCTCGATCTCTTGACCTCATGATCCACCCGCCTCGGCCTCCCAAAGTGCTGGGATTACAGGCTTGAGCCACCGAGCCCGGCCTGTCACTATATATTTTTAATGAATTTAGGTTGTAGACAACTTGGATTTGGGAAGAGCACCAGTCCTGGAGAATTCCATAATGAAATATCTTTGGCTAAAGACACTCTCAAAATATCACAAAAGATATACTCTTTACATTTTTTCTTTCGTTTTATTTTGACATAATAATAGATTCACAGAAAGTTGCAAAGAGAGGTCATGTTTACCTTTTGCTCAATTCCCCCAATGTTATACATTACATATTGTAGCAGTAATAATCAAAATCAGGAAATGGACATTGAGAAAAGGTGCCTACATAGTTACATGATTTCATCACATGTATAGATTCAGTAACCACCACAGCAATCAAGATAGAGAACTATTTCATTACCACAAAGAAATGTCTCTCCAAACTCACTCTCCCAGGCCCACCTGAACCCCTGAGAGCACTATTAATCTATTTTGTCTCTATAGTTTTGCCATTTTGAAAATATGTTGTAAATGGAATCATACAGTATATGACCTATTGAGATGAACTTTTTCACTTTGCATAATGCCATTGAGATCCAACCAGGTAATTGTATTTATTAATAGTCTACTCCTTTGTATTGCTGTGTAGTAGTCCACAAACGGATGCTTCAAAATTAAAATAACTAGAAACATTTTGGTTGACAATTATTTTCTCACAGCATCTGAAAAATATTGTTCTACTTCCTTTTGGCTTCCATTATTTCTTATAACAAATCCACTTACGGCTGGGCATGGTGGCTCATGCCTGTAATCCCAGCATTCTGAGAGGCCAAGGCTGGTGGATCATCTGAGGTCAGAAGTTTGAGACCAGCCTGGTCAACATGGTGTAACCCCACCTCTACTAAAAATACAAAAACTTAGCCAGGCATGGTGATGGGCGCCTGTAATCACAGCTACTTGGGAGGCTGAGGCAGGAGAATCACTTGAACCTGGGAGGTGGAGGTTGCAGTGAGCCGACATCACGTCATTTTTCTCCAGCCTAGGCAACAAGAGCAAAACTCCAACTCAAAAAAAAAAAAAAAAAAGAAAAGAAAAAGAAAGAAAGAAAGAAAAGAAAAGAAAGCCACTTATATCGGAATTGTTTTTTCCTTATACTTGATAAATAATTTCTCTCTGGCTTCTTTCAAGATTTTCCTTTTTAGTTTTCAGAAGTAGGATTTTCAAATTCCTTGGCATAAATTCTTTGGGTTATTCCTGATTGGAGTTCATTCAGCTTCTTAAATCTATTTGTCTTTTGCCAAATTTGAGGAATTTTCAGCCACGATTTTATAAAATGCTTTTTCAGCCCCACCTGCCTTTTCCTCTCTTTCCGAGATTTCAAATACATGTATGTTGTACTTTGTACTTTTAGTACCCATGTCCCTAAGGCTTGTGGAATACTATGCAGCCATAAAAAGAATGAGTTCCTGTCCTTTGCAGGGACATGGATGAATCTGGAAACCATCATTCTCAGCAAACTGACACAAGATCAGAAAACCAAACACTGCATGTTCTCACTCATAAGTGAGTGTTGAACAATGAGAACACATGGACACAGGGAGAGGAACATCACACACTGGGGTCTGTTGGGGGATGAGGAGTTAGGGGAGGAATAGCAGGGGGTGGGGAAATTGGGGAGGGATAACATTAGGAGAAATATTTAATGTAGGTGATGGGGGGATGGAGGCAGCAAACCACTATGGCATGTATATACCAATGTAACAATCTTGCAAGATCTGCACATGTACCCCAGAACTAAAGTAAATAAAATAAAAGAAAAAAGAAAAAAAAGGATTTTTTTCTCTTGTTCAGATTGAGTGATTTCTATTCTTTTATCTTCAAGTTCACAGATTCTTTCCTCTGTCCTCTCCATTCTGCTGTTGGGCTTATCTACTGAGTTCTTTATTTCAGTTATTGTATTTTTAGGTTTTAAGTTTACATTTGCTACTTTTTTATGTCCTCTGTGTCTTTGGTAAGACTTTCTATTTCTTTGTCGTGACTTTCTATTTTTTCATATGTTTCACATATATTTGTAATTGCTCACTGAACCATTTTTATACTGGCTGTTTTAAAATCTTTGTCAGATCATTCTAGTGTCTGTGTTATCTTGGCATCTGCAGATTGCCTTTTCTAAATCAAGTTGAGATCTTCCTTGTTATTAGTAAGATGAATAATTTTTTAAATTGAAACCTGAATATATTGGGTATCATGAGACTCTCAGGTTTTATTTATTCATTTATTTATTAGAGACATAGTCTCGCTCTGTGCCCAGGCTGGAGTGCAGCAGTATGATCTTGGCTCACTGCAACCTCCACTTCCAGGGTTCAAGCAATTCTCATGTCTCAGCCTCCCAAACTGTTGGGATTACAGGCATGAACCATGGCACCCAGCCTGTCAATTTTATTTAAATCCTGTGTTTTCTCAACTGTCCTCTGACACTGCTCCAGCTTGGAAATGAGATGATGGTGCCCCAATACCAACAGTTCAGGGTGAAATTCCAAGTTCTCCACTCTGCTTCCACTGAAACCAGGGATGGGAGTTTAGAATAAGGAACTCCTTGTTACTGGTGAGTGGAAATGGAAGATCAGGTTCCCTACATGATCTCTACTGACACTGCAGTGAGATGGCCTTAGTTGCTGAGTGGCAGTAAAACTCTGAACCTCTACCAACCTCCTCTGACTCCACACCAGTAAGGAGGAGAGGGGAGCCTCATTGCAGTCTGGCAAGAGAGTAAGTTTAGACTCTTTACTTGACCTTTGCTGGAGTGAGTAGAGGTGGAAGCCACAGTTCTCCCGTGTTATTTGACTGGAGTAGAATGGTTAGTGCCTGAATATTTTCTGTCTTACTGGGTTGCCTTTTTTCTGGTCCCTTAACTATAAAGAGCAGGTTTTTCTTGGGGATTTTTTTCCCCCTATTAGCACTTGTCACTCTGTTCTGTAACTGTCTGTTTAATATTGTCTTTCCTGTTATGAAGTCTATAAGCTTCCTGAGGGCAGGAGCTAGATCTAAATGTTCAAAGTTGTAGAATCAACAACTCAAACTGTGTTTGTCATAATATAGGGCACACAAAATTAGCCAGGCTTGGTGGTGTACACGTGTAGTCCTAGCTACTTGGGAAGCTGAGGTGGGAGGATCCCTGGAGCCCAGGAGGTTGAGGCTGCTGAGATCTGTGATCATGCCACAGCACACTAGCCCAGGTTACAGATTAAGACCTCATCTCAAAAAGTAAAAAATATGTAGAAGCACAACAAATTCTTGTTGAGTGAGTGGATTGCTCTTAACTTGATTTTCTCTTTGTACCTAGGAATGATCAAGTAGAAGTACCTCCACTTTCAAGTTGGTTTAATTCTAAGTAAGAACAAAAAATCCTGCTCACAAAATAATAATACTAATATAACTCAGGCCAGGCACAGTGGCTCATGCCTGTAATCCCAGCACTTTGGGAGGCCGAGGCAAGCGAATCACCTGAGGTTGGGAGTTTGAGACCAGCCTGACCAACATGGAAAAACCACGTCTCTACTAAAAATACAAAATTAGCCAGGCTTGGTGGTACATCCTGTAATCCCAGCTACTCAGGTGGCTGAGGCAGGAGAATTGCTTGAACTCAGGAGGCGGAGGTTGCAGTGAGCCGAGACTACGCCATTGCACTCCAGCCTGGGCAACAAGAGCAAAATTCCCTCTCAAAATAAATAAATAAATAATAATAATAATGTAACTCAACTTGAAGGGGAAGATTTTTTCCCTCATCAAATTGTGGCTAATCTTGGATGTTTCTAGGACTTAGAGTTTTTACTTTTATACATTAACCTAGGGTCTATTTATCAAGAATCAATTTATCAAGGAAATTAAGGGTTATAATGACAAAGGCGTCACACTCTATCTAGTTTAACATTCATGGTATTAGGAGAAAGAAAAAATGTCTTAAGAGGCAGCCTGAAAATGCCACTAATGACCTCTTGATTTGGGCATTAACACGCAGGGGAGAACTTCACTTTTTTTTTAATGGTTATTTATTATTATATTTTATGGTTATATATAAATTTCTTTAGCCCATTTCTAATGGTTGTTTTATTGTTTATAGTTTGGGGGCTGTTATAATTAATGTTTCAGTGAATATCCTTGTACATATATTTTTCCACATCATTGTGTAAATTTAGCTGTAAAATAAATTCCTAGGGTAAAGTCATGAGTTAAAAGGACATAGTTTTTAAGTTTTGCTTCATGTTGCTAAATTGCCCTTTAGTAATTGTTCTGTTTATTTATTTTCTAATCTTCAGTGGACAAATGTTAGTAATATTTTATTTATTTCATCATTTTACTTATCTACTTTACATGTCTGATAATATCAAACATTTTATTATTGGCAAAACAGTTACAATATCTGCATTCAAATTTATTTCTCTAATTATTATTGAATTTGAGCATTTTTTATGTTTGTTATTCATCTGTATTTTGTCTTCTGTGAATTTTCAATGTTTATATTTTTCAGTGGTATGCAGGTGCACAGAATTAGAATAATCCTTGATTCATGACATGTCATCATTGGTTCACGCAAAACCCATATATTATTTGTTTGCTTGCTTGTATATTTTTAATGAAACAAAAATTACCACCTTCAATAGCTTCAACATCTAGCTTTTTATTTATCTATTTATTTTGAGATGAAGTCTTTTGCTCTGTCACCCAGGCTGGAGTGCAGTGGTTCAATCTCGGCTCACTGCAACCTCCACCTCCCAAGGTCAAGCAATTCTCCAGCCTCAACCTCCCAAGTAGCTAGGATTACCCATGCCCACCACCATGCCTGGCTAATTTTTTTGTATTATTAGTAGAGACAGGGTTTCACCATGTTGGCCAGGCTGGTTTTGAACTCCTGACCTCAAGTGATCTGCCTGCCTCAGCTTCCCAAAGTGCTGGGATTACAGGAGTGAGCCACTGTGCCCGGCCTGTATCCTTTCTAATACTCTTCCTCTATCCTCACTTGACCCCCTAAAACAGCCACTATCATGAACCCTGGTTTAGCATTCCCTGTTTTCTGTTTTAAAATATAAATGTATATCCTCTATATTATGGGGGGAATGTCCATTTTTAATCTTTAGTTGTTTATAATGTTATAAAGAGGATATTATACTGCATGTAATTTTCAGGGACCTATTTTTCCCCTTAATATTAGATAGCAAAGATTCATTCAGAAAGTGTACATCATTGTAATTCATTTTGATGGCTGCATAATAACTGACTATGGAAATATACCACAGTTTATTTATCCACTGCCTTGTTATGAGCACTTCAATTGTTTTTAAGTTTTTGCTATTATGAACAGTGTTGCTATAAATGTTCTTACTGATTGTTCTTTAGGTAGATGAGGAGCCCCTGAGTGGTAAAATATGTAAATATTCAACCTATGAGATAGTGCCAACATTATTTTTCAAAGCAGATACAGTAGTTTAAACTTTCATCAGCAAAGAAGAACAGATCTTGTTGATGTACATGCTCTTGGACATTCTGTATCGCCACTAGAATGGGCAGAAAAATCTATCTCTTTATAGCCATTTAAATTTCTTTAATTACTAAAGCAGTGAAACATTCCTTCGTGTGTTTGTTAGTCATATATGCTTTCTATTTAGTGAGATGAGTTCATATATTTTGCCCACTTTTGTTGAATTATTTGTGTTATGTTGATTTATAGAATATATTATTGATCCCGGGCATGGTGGCTCACACCTGTAATCCCAGCATTTTGGGAGGCCAAGGTGGGCAGATCATTTGTGGTCAGGAGTTCAAGACCAGCCTGGCCAAAACAGTGAAACCTCATCACTCCAAAAAATACAAAAATTAGCCAGGTGTGGTGGCAGGCATCTGTAATCTCAGCTACTCAGGAGGCTGAGGGAGAAAAATCACTTGGACCTGGAAGGCAGAAGTTACAGTGAGCAAGATCACACCACTGCTCTCTACCTTGGGTGACAGAGTGAGTAAGACTTTGTCCCGCTGCAAAAAAGAATATATTATTGATACTAATCCTTTGTCAGCCATGTGTGCCACAAATGTCTTCTCTCAATTACAAATAAAATAGCTGTCCAACATTTATCTTTGACCTCATCTTCAACTATTGTCTCCCTCCCTCAGTCCACTCCAATCACACTGGCCTCCTTGATGTTCCCCAGATACATGAAGTGCACTTCCCCTCAGGGCCTTTGCAACTTCTGTTTTTTCTGCATGGACCATTCATCCTCCAAACAGCAAAATGGTTCATTCTTTCACTTCCTTCAAGACTCCTCTCAAATGTTATTTTATCAGTGAAGACTTCTCCACCCACCCTGTATAAAATTACATAAAATCCCATTCTCTTTCTCTCTTATCCAGCTTTATTTTTCTCCACTGTACTCATCAGCATCTGACATACTATATATTTGTTTATTCATGTATTGTCTGTCTGAATATCTTAGGCTGATATATTATTTCCCTCCTTTATGCTTCATTCTATATCACATCTATGATACTCTACAGTATGGTACCACGAAACTAGCATTTTATCTGTATACTTTCTTTCTGGAAATTTTAATTGCAAATATTATACTTCATAATCAGATCACCTATGTCCTGCTGAACATCATCTACTCAGGCCTTGTGGTGTTTTCTAACCTTCTCAGAAACTGAATCTGTAGGGATATAAGAGACACAACTCAAGTAAGATGCAGTAACTTCAATTATGGGATTGTTTGCAGAGGTTTGGGCAAGGTTTAGAGACCCAACAAAGGATATGTAGGCACCTAGGGGTTTGCAACAGCAGGAAGCTGTGACCACTCCTAGGCCTAAAGGGGCAAGGAAAGGAATGGCATTACCAGAGAACAGAAATTGCTGGAACCATGAAAAAAGAGCCACCCAACAGAAGTTCCAGTCATAGAAGGACATGACCACCCTCAATGTCTCAGCAAACTGGAGAGAGAGAGCATGAAAAGAAATAACCCAACCTTTCTATCTTCCTGCCCTCTCATTGTATACTGGTGCCTCCCTTTAGCAGAACCCACTGGAAGCCATAGATCAAGGGACCTTGGGTGATAAGCCTGTTCCTAGGATATACAGCCAGGCAGAGAAAGGCTGAAGATAGGGGGAAGGAAAATGGAGAACAACTAGCACAGTCTACTCCTTTTTCCATTCAGCATCATTTCTCAACCTTGACTTAGATGAAAAATTTAATGTTCCCAAAAAAGGAGAAACACAAAGTTCCATCAGCTACTGTATCATCATGAGGTGATAACAATTCAGTCATATTCCCACTAGAACCTAAACTATAACACTAGCCCTCTGGTATTCTAGATAAGGTAGCAAGGAAAGGGGAGAAAGTAATTAACATAATAAATCACTACTAAGTCCCACCTCTGTAGCTGTTCAGGAGATTAATAACAAAAAAAGGTAGTTAATTGCCACTGTTTCATGGTTTCCTTATCATCTTCTTAATTGATAGTGACCCAAACCTCCAGTCCTTAAAACTCATTTCTCAGTCCTTTAGTGGTCCCACCTTATTGAGTGAGTTGCCATAATTTCCCATGGACCATTATTACTGGACATGGAAGTACTAAGGGGCACCCCCGAGAATTCCTTGGGTTCTATATGCAGCTCTCCTTGCTATCACTGTGCAGTAGAAACTTACTATCTCCTTGGTGATGAAGATCAGTTGCCCGTAACATTATTTCTGCCTAATAGTTCAGCAGCATGAAGAACCTCAAATGATCTGCTATTAGCTTCATAGAACCATGACTTTATTCCCTAAAAGAAGATTCCTCCCTTAGAAACTAAGAACTCCAAACCCACGGAACCCAAGTTTATAACAATAGCAAGCAAACATCCCATAAGCTGTAATCATGAGCAGGAACATTCCCACATCTATGTTGCTTTATGGACTGTGTATTTTAGCTTTGGAAGAAACAGTGTCTTATGTTGGTCATCAATTCAAAGCATGATTACACATTATAGGATAGTACCTCAACCTTTCAGGAAATTGGTCTCTGAACTAGCACCAAAATTGAGACTTCTGCTGGCTGTTCCACTTTCTACCAGACCAGCTGCCTCTAGATGACAAGGCGCATAGTAAGACCAAAGAACTTTATAAAAATGAGTCAACTGCCACACTACTTGCATCATAAAGTGGGTACCTTGGGTAAGGTAATGTGTGTGATACCATAGTAATGGATAAGATACTCTGCAAGTCAACAAAGCTGGCAGGTTTGCAGACAAGGAAAGCAAATCTGTACTGAGAATATGGGACTAACAGGCATGCACCACTACATCGGGCTAATTTTTCTATTTTTAGTAGAGATGGGTTTCACCATGTTGGTCAGGCTGGTCTTGAACTCCTGGCCTCAAATGATCTGCCTGCCTTGGCCTACCAAAGTGCTGAGATTACAGGTATGAGCCACTGCATTTTAGCCTATTTAAATGATTTCTTAACAGGGGTTTTTAATTGCCTTCTGCTTTCAGAGACTCTTTCTTTTATTCTGGCTGCAAACCTTTAATCTGATCTCATGAAAAAGAGGGATAATCCTCAAACCCTATCTTCTCAAATAGGTATCAATTTGCATCTGTAGCATGACGAATTTATAAGTATCATCACTATCACGAGGATACATCGGGCGAGTTGTAAGACAAATTTTGAGATTTGTGAGTCAAATAGAAGTATATGACTAGAAATTCTAAAAATAGAGAAAGGTTTTGGCCGGGCACAGTGGCTTATGCCTGTAATCCCAGCACTTTGGGCCCTAGGCGGGCAGATCACCTGAGGTCAGGAGTTCGAGACCAGCCTAACCAACATGGTGAAACCCCGTCTCTGCTATGCAAAATAATTAGCCAGACATGGTGGCGGGTGCCTGTAATCCCAGCTACTTGGGAGGCTGAGGCAGGAGAATTGCTTGAACCTGGGAGGCAGAGGTTGCAGTGAGCCAAGACTGCGCCATTGCACTCCAGCCCGGGCAACAAGAATGAAACTCCATCTCAAAAAGAAAAAAAATGAGAGGTGTTTTAAATAACTGAATTTGAAAAACAAATAAAATTGTATGTTAAAGAACTACTAAAACAGTAAGAGGGAACAGTTTTGAAGTATTTACTATTTACTATATTATTATTATTACTATTAATATATTGTTAAAGGTTGACAAATGCTACTTTGTCTGGGTCTGGATTTATAATAAAAATTAGCACCCATCAAAAGTAAAATGGCATCTCACTTTGTATCTAATTCCTTTCAAAATGAAGGTCTTAATTTGCTTTAATCCTTTAATGCCTGGCCTCCAGCCAAACTATTTAGTATTATTAATGCTGTTACTTTTGCTGTCATTTTGTTATTATTAGAAACAACTATAATTTTTTCCTCCCTTTTGAGACTAATGCAATTTTCTTCCAGGTTGCATCAATAGGCTTAAAGCACTAGGGAAAATGTAAAAACGGAGTAGCGTTATAGAACTTCCAGGAAGAGAGAAAAAGAAAAAGGAGGAGGAAAAAACCAAGAACACATAAGGACACAGTGATACTGCTGGGTTTAGGCAAAAATCATACAGCTGTTCGGACACTGGGTTACTTAAGTTTAAACCACAGTCAGAACTCAAAGAAAATGACCCCTGGGCTCAAAAGGCAATATCGTGTGTTCACTCTGAAGCCAGACTAGCTGGATCTTGAATCCTGACTCTGCCATTTATTAGCTGTGATACTAAGCAATTTAGTCTGCCAATTTGTGCCCAGGTTTCCTCATGAAAAATAAGGATAATCATAGTATTTACCTTATAGGGCATTGCAGGGATTAAATGAGTTATGTAAACATTTAAACTCATAGTAAGTATTCTATAATCATTAGCTATTATCATTTGGACAACAACTTGTGTCATAATAAAGTGCTATCTGCTTAATTTCTTTCTTATTTTTCAACAGAAAACGACCGGATGTTGTAACAAGAACTGACTGGCTTGCTCCGGTCATATGGGAAGGAACTTACAACAGACAAGTGTTGGAAAGATATTACAAGAAGCTGAACATTACCATAGGATTGACTGTATTTGCTGCTGGGAAGTAGGTGCTACTAATATTCACTCTTTTTTATTTTGGAAAAATATGGATGAGTACCCATGGATTTTCTACATCTAAAGATCTATTTATAATTAATCCTAATCATTATTTCTGGCTGTCCTGTATAATTATTTACAGCAGTTATTTTCTCCAGCCTTGGCTAAGTCCTTAACACCACTTGAGATTCTTTTCATTAATATTCATTTAACTCCTTTATCCTTTTTTCCACAACAAACTTTAAGATTTTTTTCAGGTCCCCAAACATACTACATTCTCTTTCACAAATCAATGCAACTGAAGCGACAGACCAATTTCCCTATACCTACCTTGCTTAGTGTCATGGACACATATGTGAAACAGCATGTTTAAATGGCATATATTCTCCTGTTAGTTTCTAGCAAAATAATTTTTTTTGTTTTTTTATGTTTCACAGATTTAGAAATCAGTACCTGAAAGAGTTCATACAATCTGCTAATAAGTACTTTATGACTGGCTACAAGGTTATCTTTTACATCTTGGTGGATGGCATCAACAAGCTACCTCGAATAGAGTTAGGTCCCCTTCGAACATGCAAAATATTTACTGTAGTTAAAGACCATGAATGGCAAGACTTTAATTTCATATACATGAATAACTTAAATGGGTATATCACAGATTACATCCAGCATGAAGTCAACTTTCTCTTCACTATGTCTGTAAACCAGATCTTCAAGAATGACTTTGGAGTAGAAACCCTGGGCACATCTGTAGCTCAGCTCCATGCATGGTGGTATTTTAAAAATGCTAAAGATTTCCCTTATGAGAGAAGACCTAACTCAGCAGCTTCCATCCCCTTTGGACAAGGAGATTTCTATTACCATAGTGCAATTTTTGGTGGCACGCCCCATGAGGTTGTAACCTTCATTAAAGAATATCAGAAAGGAATGGTTCAGGATACCACAAATAAACTTAATAGCCTATTTGAAAGCTACCTAAACAAATATTTTTTTTTTAAGAAACCTACTAAGCTGTTATCACCAGAATATAATTGGGATCCAAAGTTTAGAACCCCTCCACAAATTAAAAAGGTTAAGATAGCATTGCAGTCAGAAAGGTGATGGTTATACTATTAGATTTATGGATTAACAAGGGAATCACAATAATTTCTCAAGTTAAAATTCATGAAAGTTTTTAGCTTTTTAGAAACTTATAAAAATGTACAATCTTCCAAAATAAATTGTTTCTCTTTGCAATTTTGAACTAATTCTATGCTGAATGAAGAATAAATGGATAATTTAATGTTATTACTTATGCAATGTGATATTATTATATATTATTATAAATAATGTGGAAATACTTTGGAGGCATAAAATCTTTTTATGAAGAAACACACCCAGACTCTAGCTCAGAAACATATATACGTGTATGTATATATATGAGTATATATGTGTATATATACATGTTTACATGTATGTTTATATAAAATGTGCAGATATAAAATGTATATATGTATATATACATGTGTAAACATGCGTGTACATGTGTATACACATGTGTCTATATATAAATAAAAAATGTACAGATACAGATATAAAAATATATATGTATATATTTTATATCTATATATAATATACAGACATACAGATATAATTATATATACTACATTTTTCAGTGTCTGGATATAAATTGCTTGTGATTAATCTTCTCAATTAGTATTCAATCTGTCTAGTACCTGACTGAACTAAGGTGAACTAGAGACACCTTAACCATATATCTTACTTTTATTGATACAAAGAGATGTTAAGTTCATATTTTTAAAAATGCTATGGGACTGTTTTTTTTAAATAGATATTTACTGAACTCCAAGGTAAATGTACTCTTTTGAGTGCAGTCAGGTGTAAAAAAAAGTCATAATTTGTCGGGCCAAGTGTGGTGCCTCATGCCTGTAATCTTATTACTTTTGGAGGTGGGCAGATCACTTGAACCCAGGAGTTGGAGACCAGCCTGGTCTACATGGTGATACCCCATCTCCAAAAATATAACAATTAGCTGGTCATGGTGGCAGGCACTTGTGGTCCCAGCTACTCAGGAGGCTCAGGTAAGATGATTGCTTAAGCCCAGGAGGCCATGGCTGCAGTAAGCCTTACTCAAGCCACTGCACTCCACCCTGAGTGACAGAGAGAGACCTTGTCTCAAATAATAATAATAGTAATAATTTGTCCTCAAAGAGCTCCAGCCTAGCAAGGGAGAGAAGATTATTCACAAATATTTCTTTTTCTTTTTTTTTTTTTCTGGAGGACTGCCAGGCAATGCCAGAACAGCAAGTTTATTTGTGCACACCATAGGTTATATACTTTTCAGTGTTTAAGGAGTTACATACACTCCATTGTATCTTGAAATAAAATCAAGAATATAAATCACAAGAAAAGGGGTACAGAAAGTATGACTCTTAATCATAGGGTGTACAGCAAAGGGACAATAAAGTTTGCAAAAGGGGGTCATAAATCTAAACATATGTTTATCTAAAATCAGTCAAGCAAGCAAGTAAGATCGTTAACAAGGTACAGCTGGACCTTTCCAAATGTCATTCTAACCTTGCCTATTCATATAGGATCATATGCAAACAATATGATTGAGTTAGCAGAGGTAAACAAAGTCATACAGTTATTGTGCAGAGAAGGAACTAGGAGGCACACAATGTCTCGTTAGACCGCAAAGCCTGAGCTCAGCCATCCTGTTGCAAATGTCAGAGGCAAAGATAGATGTTCATAAAATCAGTGCAACCAGAATTCATCTTTTCCCTTAGCTCAACAGCCTCCAGGAGAGAAGAAACGTGTATGGCTCAAGCTCAAGATGGCGAGGGTCCTGTCAAGGATCCCTTGCAGGAGCGATCCCCACAGTTCATGAATAATATTATTTCATTTTGTATTATTTAATTTCTATAATGTTCCTTAGAGTAGAATGTATTACTGTTATAACCAACATGAAATCTCACCAATATGATTTCTTATATTTATTTATTTAATTATTTTTTGAGGCAGAGTTTCACTGTTGTTACCCAGGCTGGAGTGCAATGGCACAATCTCGGCTCACCACAACCTCCGCCTCCTGGGTTCAAGCAATTCTCCTGCCTCAGCCTCCCGAGTAGCTGGGACTACAGGCCTGCACCACCATGCCCAGCTAATTTTTATATTTCCAGCAGAGACAGGGTTGACAAGGATGGTCTCAATCTCTTGACCTTGTGATCCACCCACCTCGGCCTCCCAAAGTGCTGGGATCACAGGCGTGAGCCACCATGCCCGGCCCCCGATTTCTTTTATGGTTAGAAAAGTTTGAGTTGCAGGAGAATTGCTTGAACCCAGAAGGCGGAAGTTGTGGTGAGCCAAGATGATCGTGCCATTGCACTCCAGTCTGGGTAACAACAGCGAAACTCCGCCTCAAAAAAAAAAAAAAAGAAAAGAAAAAGAAAAAGAAAAGTTTGAGCTGTTGCCAAAAGCATTGTCACATCTTTCTCCTTTGTAGTGTCTCTCCAGGTCTTCTAAGAACTGAGGACTAGTTAAAAGCTTTACCATATTTTTCACACTCCAGTGTGAATTTTCTTGTTTATTAAGAATTGAGGACTGGTTAAAGGCTTTGTCACACATTCTTCACATTTGTAGAGTTTCTCTCCTATATGAATCATTTTGTTCAGTAAGGTTTGAGGACTGGTTAAAAGCATTGCCACATTCTTTACACTTGTAAGGTCTCTGTTCAGTATGAATTATGTTGTTTAGTAGGAGTTGAGGACTGGATAAAGTCTTTACCAAATTCTTCACATTTCTAAGATTTTTTCTCCAGTGTGAGTTATCCTATGTTTAGTAAGGTTTGACGACTGGTTGAAAGCTTTGCCACAGGCCAGGCGCGGTGGCTCAAGCCTGTAATCCCAGCACTTTGGGAGGCAGAGGCGGGTGGATCACGAGGTCAAGAGATCGAGACCATCCTGGCCAACATGCTGAAACCCCGTCTCTACTAAAAACACAAAAAATTAATTAGCTGGGCATGGTGGCACGTGCCCGCAATCCCAGCTACTCAGGAGGCTGAGGCAGGAGAATTGCCCGAACCCAGGAGGCGGGGATTGCGGTGAGCCAAGATCGCGCCATTGCACTCCAGCCTGGGTAAGGAAAGCAAACTCCGTCTCAAAAAAAAAAAAAAAAAAAAAAGCTTTGCCACATTCTTCACATTTGTAGGGTTTCTCTCCAGCATGAATTATCTTATGAGTAGTACGGGTTAAAGATTACTTAAAAGCTTTGCCACATTTTTCACATTTGTAGAGCTTCTCTCCAGTATAACTTTCCTTATGTGCAGTTAATTTGGGGGAACTGTTTAAAAGTTTTGCCACATTCCTCACATTTGTAGGGTTTCTCTCCAGCATAAATTATGTTTAGTAATGGCTGAGGATTTGTTAAAAGCTTTGCCACATTCTATACACGTGTATGATTTCTCTCCTGTATGAATTATGTTTAGTAATGTATGAGAATCAATAAAAACCTTTGAGATGTGTAGGGTTTTCCTCCAGCATGAATTATTTTATGTGTAGTCAGGGTTGAGAAGTGGTTAAAGCTTTATCACATTCTTTACATTTATACGATTTCTCTCTGATATGAATTCTCTTATGTTTAGTAAGGATGGAGGACTAATTAAAGCCTTCGCTGGCTGGGCATGGTGGCTCACTCCTGTAATCTCAGTAGTTTGGGAGGCCAAGGCGGGCGGATCACCTGAGGTCAGGAGTTCAAGACCAGCCTGGCCAACATGGTGAAACCTCATCTTTTTTATTTAAAAAAAAAAAAGTCTTTGCCACATTCTCCACATTTGTAAGGTTTCTCGCCAGCATGAATTACCTTGTGTGTACTAGTGGTTGAGTATCTCTTAACAGCTTTGCCATTCTTCATATTTTATGGTTTCTTTCTAGTATGAATTCTTTTATGTATAGTGAGATGTGAGTACCGGTTAAAAGCCTTGCCACATTCTTCACATTTTAGGGTTTTTCTCCACCATGAATTCTCTTATGTCTAGTAAGGATGGAGGACTAATTAAAGCCTTCACTGGCTGGGCATGGTGGCTCATGCCTGTAATCTCAGTACTTTGGGAGGCCGAGGCGGGCGGATCACCTGAGGTCAGGAGTTCAAGACCAGCCTGGCCAACATGGTGAAACCTCATCTTTTTTATTTAAAAAAAAAAAAGTCTTTGCCACATTCTCCACATTTGTAAGGTTTCTCACCAGCATGAATTACCTTGTGTGTACTAGTGGTTGAGTATCTCTTAACAGCTTTGCCATTCTTCATATTTTATGGTTTCTTTCTAGTATGAATTCTTTTATGTATAGTGAGGTGTGAGTACCGGTTAAAAGCCTTGCCGCATTCTTCACATTTATAGGGTTTTTCTCCACCATGAATTCTCTTATGTCTAGTAAGGATTGAAAGTACCCTAAAGGCTTTTTCCATATTCTTTACACTTGTAGGGTTTCTCTCCAGTATGAATACTCTTACGTATAATAAGGTATGAGTATTGTTTAAAATCTTTGCCACATTCTTCACATTTGTAGAGATTTTCTCCACCATGAATTCTCTTATGTCTGGATAGGTTTGAGAATACACTAAAGGTTTTACCACATTCTTCACATTTGTAGGGTTTCTCTCCTGTATGAATTACCTTATGTACAGTAAGTTTTGGGGAGTGGTTAAATGCTGTGCCACATTCTTCACATTTGAAGGGTTTCTCTCCAGTATGAAATTTCTAATGTGATGTAAGGTGTGAGAATAGGTAAAAAGCTTTTTCACATTCTTCACGTTTGTAGGGTTTCTCGCCAGTATGAAATCTTTTATGTGTAGTAAGGTATGAAGACCGGTTAAAGGCTTTGCCACATTGTTCACATCTATAAGGTTTCTCTCCAGTATGAATTCTCTTATGTGTAGTAAGGGTTGAAGACTGCTTAAAAGCTTTGCCACATTCTTCACATTTGTAGGGCTTCTCTCCAGTGTGGATTCTCCTGTGTCTAGTAAGGGCTGAGAACCAGTTAAAGACTTTACCACATTCTTCACATTGGTAAGAATTCTCCCTAATATGAGTTCTTTTATGTTGAGTTAGGTGTAAAAGCATGCAAAATGATCTGTCACAATTTTTACATTTGAAAGTTTTTTTTTCCAGTACATCTTGTCTTATGTATATTTGAATTTAAATGTTTAAGAAAGACTTTCATATATTTATCACATCGAACTATTTCACTCTGGGTAGTTGTCAAACA